TTACTGATGTCGTACACACCCTTCAGTGTGAAATGTGGCTCTCTTTGCAAGCACATCTAACATCTAAGGAAAGAAGAGCTTAGATTGGTACCAGATAAAATAATTTTGTTATCAACATTAATACATTACCTATGTTAATTTTCATCTTTGTAAGCGCATAAGACAGTGCAAATTATATCTGTGACAGTCTTTTGAAGTGAAGCTCCATTTTATCCCATACATAGTCAAAATATTGGGGGGATGATACAATGGACCATCCCCCCCCCCCTTGTCAAATATTGGGGGATATATCCCCCATCCCCCGGGATCTACGCCTCTATGACTTTATGTACACAACCACTGTCTTGAAGGCTGAAGGTCAACGTGTGTAGAATTTCGTATATACCTATACAATCTTCAGCCTTGTGATTTTATCAAACGCTTATGTATATTCACAGATACGCTGGAATTATTTTTATCAAGTTTTTGAAATTCAACCATTTTAACATTTATTTATGTTTTACACAATTTATCATTCACGGATTAAAATTTGCTGTAATGTATTAGTTTTTAAATAGATTTTTAAAAAGTCAATGAAATAATTACTACTATTTTCTTCAATTTTTCTTAGGTTCGTGTTCAGTTAATTGTTCAATTGAATGCAAGTTCAACCGAAGGTGATGTAAATCTTCAAGGAATTGTTGGAGTTGATGATGCCTTAACTGAATTAGACATTTCGTTTACCGTTCAGGAAGGTTTCAATGATGAAGAGGTACACTTGTTATTTAGGTTAAAGAGAATACTGTTTCATATTTTGGAATAAACCGAATTTAAAAACCCAAATTACATCTAACATAATTGCAGTTAGTTAATAAATATGATTTAGATCAATCAAGTAAATAATTATTATATTAAGTTTTCCAAGTCAAAAATAAAAATTTTACAGGCCTACCACATAGTTCAGACCCCGCAAAATGAACACACGAATTTTTTAAAACACATAAACCATATTTGACGATAAACTATGGAGCAGTTAATGAGATACAGGTTTTTGAATAGGTTAAATACTGGGGGAAAAGCATAATTACGCCGCCTTTTTCCCGGTTTTTAAATACTTTATTCTAAAATCTGTATCTCATAAACCGCTCCCAAGTTTCTTTTTTCTTTGTGCTAAATATTTTATTTATTTATGTAGATGCCGAAAAAAAATCCAAATATTGTACACTTTAAAATATGCTTAAATTTGAAAAGTCAGCGGAGCAGTCTATAGCGATTAATAATGGTACAATTGATTTATGGAACAAAAAGTGGAATGTTTTGGTAATGGATTACTTATTGACAATGTTTAATGCCAATCTTTAAAGGGTTTTTTTCCTTTTTTGTGATTTTATTTGTACGGAGTGTCTGTTTTGTTATGTTTTAAAAATGAATAAAAGAATATATTGAGAAAAAAAAAGTTTCTCATGAAATATGGTTTCTGAGTCTTAGGAAAATAAGTTTGTACAACATAAGTGGAACATAATTGCAATGCTTACAGTTTCGTTCATTCATTTGGTCAATCATTTACGTTGAGTTTGTTTGAATCAATACCTACCCAACGACTGTTATAAAACTATTGTACTATTAGATGCCGATAGAGGGCATGCTAACAAACACTTCACATGTTATTTTTTAAGATGCTGAGATATCGTCACTTTATATGTTTTCTACTCTCTCTATGTACCAAAAACCTCTATTTATATTTACAACTATGGAACTAATTTGAACAAAAGGAAAAGTGTTTGTTTTTCATTGTGTTTTAACTCAGTACTATGCACTGTTGGTATCTATGTGGCCTGCAAGGTTTAAGACAATAGACCAAATAATACGCAAGTGACAGTTGCAACACCTACGAAAATGGTGTGTGCAATTCAGAATAATAAAGTGTAGGTTTACATGTGCTTTCTTTTTTTTTTTCAGACAAATTCTGAGCCAATTTTTACTGTCTTCGGGCCACATGAAAACTACACATCAAATTCTTTGGATCCCGTCAACTACACGGTTGGACAAAAACAAATATTCACTATTAATATTACCTCACCAGTGATTACCACTAATATGTTGATCTCAGTCAATTTACCGGTTGCAACAGATGAAGCTTATCTAACAGTTACAAACGTCACCCTGACGAGTGTCGGCAAAAATTATGCCTGCTTTCCGTTGTATGAGCTTGATCCTATTTACCATTCAACGCTTGAAAGCAGTCAACATGATTCAGTAGTTATTGACCTTGGTGTAATAACAAATATTGGTAAGTATATTTTAAGAAAAAAAAGTTGTAGCATTAGTAGTTAATATGAGATCTCACCACAAAATGTGTGGGGTCGTGACAAAGTGCGAGCCAGCGAGTCATGCGAGCCAATTCGCGAGCCATGCGAGCCATACATTTTAAATCCCTTTGTTTTCCCCACCGGGGAGCTTTGCCTGTATAGTCCAGTCATGCGCAGTACATCGTCGATCCGGAAGTATGCAGCGCTGATAGAGATGTTGTTAAAATACAGATATACAGATACATACATACAGATATATTTATATATATGTACTGTATTTATTTATATATCTATTTATATATATTATTTTATATATACTGTATATAATTATATATTTATTTATATATTTTTATATTTATTTGTATATTTATATATATATATATATTTATTTGTATATTCATTTATATATATAGGCCTATGTATATATTTATTATATGTTTATTTATATATTTATTTTTAAATACTTATTTGTGTATATATATTTATTTATTTATATATATATAATATTATTGTTTTATATTTAATACTGTAATTATTTATATATTTATTTACATATTTATTTATATATTTGTTTGTATTTTTTTGTATATGTATTTATATATATTTCTATATATTTATATGTTTATATATTTATTTATATAATTATTTAAATTTTTTTATATATTGTTTGTATATTTATTTGTATATTTATTTATATATATTTATATATATTAATATTTTCATATATTTATTTATATATTTAAATATATATTCATTTGTATATTTATATATATATATATATTAATAAGTTATGTATATATTTTTTTATATTTATTTGTATATATGCAGCGCTGATAGAGATGTTGTTAAAATACAGATATACATATACATACATACAGATGTATTTATGTATAAATATTGTATTTATTTATATATTTATTTATCTATATATTATTTTATGTATACTGTATATATTTATTTATATATTTTTATATTTATTTGTATATTTATATATATATTTATTTATATATTCATTTATATATTTGTTTGTATATTTTTTGTATATTTATTTATATATTTATTTGTATA